GACCCAGGGGTCCAGGCCCCCAGTCCCTCCTCCCCCAGACCCAGGCCTCCAGGCCCCCAGCCCCTCCCTCAGACCCAGGAGCCCAGGTGCCCCCAGGACTCACGTGCTCCAGTCATAGCCTATGGGCTCTGGATTGCTGCGGGCGTCACAGTTCAGGCTGGCCTCGCTACGGCCAAGGTACCAGTTGTCATCATAGCCAGAGATGGAGACCTCAGGAGGGTCTGGAGGAAATGGGAGACTGACTCAGAGGGGGAGAATCCCAGAGGGGGTGAGAGATAAGCAGGTGGATGGGAATCCTAAGGAAATGGGGTGCGTTGGCAGGAGGTGGCAACTGTCAAGGGCAAATGTGTCCTGGCCGCATCTGCAGGGCCAGCAGAGATACTGTCCAGGGACACCACTGTAGATTCTTTTGAGAAGGTTGCCCTTCAGTTCAGGTAGTTTCTGAGGGAGCCAGAGAGATAATGTGTGTAATTTCTTCACTGCCTGGAGCAGTTAAGGGAATTGGTTTAACCAACTTGCTGGACAGCTAGTGGAGAAAATGCGGAGTTGGGGTCTGCAGTTTGTGTGGACAGTGACTGGAGAGCTGGGGAGGCCACTGTTTGGCAAGTCCCTGGGAAGAGCGCCAGGGGAGCCCCTAAGGGTAGTAATAGGTGGGGTCAGTATAAGCAGCTTTGGAAGAGTTAACAGAGCAGGTAGGAAGGGGTCAGTACTGACAGGCTCAACAGGGCCAATGTGAATCTTACAGAGGGCAGGAGTTGGGGTCCAGAGCCCAGGGGAGTCAATGTAGACAAAGTCCAAGGAAGCCAATTTGGATAGTGTGAATGGGGGTACGTGTAGACAATCTTGAGTCAGGCAGGGTGGATGCAGAGTGGTTGATATAGACAATAGGGGAACAGTGTCAACTGGGGTTCATGGAACCGGAAGAGATACTGCTGGGGGTAGCTGTGTGCTGGGAAACGGGCTCTCTGAATAGAAGGAAAAAGAAAGAATAGCCCTGATTTGCAGTGTTTGCCAATTTCCTTGGTGTAGATACCTCCCCACGGTTAATTTCAAGCTATCAAGATGATGTCATTGGCTATGGACTGGGGAAGGAATGTATAAAATGTCCCCTTGCTAGCCTATTCTGGCTTATCATTGCTTACGGCAGCAGGGAGACAGTCTAGCAAAGTCAGTGTAGACAATGAAGGGGCAGTGTAGGTATTGCTGTGAGGAGCCAGTGTAGGCAATAGTCAGGAAGGGAGTGCAGAATCTGGCTCAGAGGGCCAATGTAGACAACACTCAGGGATAGTGTAGACAGGGCCCTAGAGAAGCCAGTGTGTGGGGGAGAAGTTGGGATGGGTGGGTGAAACGGGTGAAGGGGATTAAGAGGCATCAAAATCTCAATCATCGTATAAATTAGTCATGGGGATGAAAGTACAGCATAAAGAATATAGTCAGTAATTCTGTAACATCTTTCTATGTTGACAGACAGTAACTACACTAGAGCATCTAATAATGTAGGTAACTGTTGAATCGCTGTTATATACTTAAAGCCAATATAATATTGTATGTCAAACTATACTTCAATGATAAATAAATAAATAAATAAGTAAAGAGAAGCCAGCAGTGTTGGAGTGTGGCCCCATTTTGATGCACTCACAGCGCACTGAGAGGAACAGAGGCAGCAGGGCCGGCTCCTCAAAGCTCTCGTGCTCCACTTTGCAGGTGACCTTGACACCATCTGCTCTGCCCAAGGGCACCAAGGTGAAGCGGCTGGTGACGGTGACTGTGCCAGGCAAGGGCCCTGACATCTGGCTCTCTTTGGCCTCCCCGTCCAGGGGTGACAGCCAGGAGATTCGGGGAGGTGGCCTGCCCCCTGTAGAGACACAGCGGGCCACGGGCACAGGTTCCAGGCTGAGTGTGACCTCCTGTGTTTCAGCGTGGTTCTGGGGCTGGGCTGGGGAGAGGAACAGAGCAGGAGTATTACTCTCCACCTACAGTCACTCAACAAACACCACAGCAGTGGAGTTGAGCAGTTAAGCCCCAACTGCCTGGGTTCAAATCCCAGCTCTGCTACTTAACAGCTGCAAGGTTGTGGGCCAGTCATTTCCCAATCCTATGCCTCAGTTTCCTCTTTTGAAAAGTGGGGATAATAAAAGTACTCACCCCAAAGGATTGTTGATTGTATTAAATAAACTGATATGTAAAGCACTTCAGATAGCACCTGGCATTTACTGTGCTACTTAAGTGTTAGCCATCATATTATATTGTGTGTTCTGCTCTACTAGAAAAGCAGATAGTGTCCAAATGCCTGGAAAAGGCAGAGATTTAGACAAGCCAAAGCAGAATAATGTGGTTGAAAGGTTCAGCTGCAAAGGCCTCCTACTTCTTTTCTTATAATCACCATTAAACTGTGGTGCCAGAAGTGGGATAAAACATGGAGATCCCCAAAGTTGGCGATATTTTGCCCATCACCCATCCTCCTGGAAAACACGGAAAGATATTAGGAGGGGAGAAAAAAACCTCTCTGAGGAATAATGACACCAAGGCACAGTTACGGGTTGCGTTCTGGAACTCTCCATCTGCAGACCTCCTGAGCTTCTTAACGTGGTATAGCCCTCCTCTCCTTCCCCCTTCTCCTTGGACTGCCACAGAGCCTCCAATGGGACTCCCACATCCTCCCTGGTCACCCTCCCATCTGTCCTCTGATGGCTCCAGGCACCTACCCTACCCTCAGTTCCTGCTCCTGCCCGCTGCAGGGTCTTGGCCACCTTGGGCTGGAAGTGCTGTGGCTCCCTTCTCCAGATTCCAGCCTCACTTCCTTGGGGGAACCTCGCTGGTGTCTGACTCCCCATTAGTGGCACTTGCATCACCCGCTCCCCACCGAAGCAGAGGCCTGGCTGTCCTGTTCTGTGCTTCTGCCCCAGTAAATGCCTGATGTGTCATTATGGTTCTCTATGGAGCTCTTGAACAGAACAAATGGTTGTACAGGCAGAGAGACCTTTGCGAGGGGTGGGCAGAAGCTGGGCTTCGAGTTATGCAAAACAGCTGTGGTGTCAGGCTCCTTGGAAAAGGAAGCCTTCACCCTGGATGGTGCAACACAGACTTCTCAAACTCTCTGGGGCTGAGAGGGGGAGGATAAAGTATCCACAGTGACGTGGCTTCTGGGAAGTTGCCGGGCAAGGTGGGTTCCCGGGGGCATGCCAAGATTTACAATAAGTAGCATCCTTCAGGGGAAAAAAAAAAGCCTTCCCTCCAACTTCAACCTTCTTCGTTTTGCTAAGTGGCTGTGCTGGTCACCCTTCTGCTGGAGTCAGAAGGCCGGGAGTCTTTCCTGATCCCACCTCAATTCACAGACAAGCACTTGTTAGCTCCCAAAAGTGTCTTTGTTTTGCCCTGTCTCTCACCTGGTCGCCCCGCTCGTGCCCACCTTTGTGTACTCCTCTAAGGGGCCTCCCAGCAGCCGGTCATCCTTTAATATAATTCTGACAGTCAGATCAGTGTGCTTCTGGGGTTTGAACCCTTCAGTGGATCCACACAACGACCCTTCAGATGACATCGGCTGCTCTGTTTCTGCCTAGGAAGCCCATGCAAACCAGCCCTGCGAGTATCCTGCCTCAGTGACATTCGCCAAGCCCTTGCCACCAGCCTCCCTTCTGTTACTGGGACATGCCAAGGTCCTTCTTACCTCCCGGCTTTTGCACATGCTGTCCCCTCTGCTTGTGGACATGTGGCCATGAGTGGCTCCTTCTTACACCTCAGGACTTGACTAAGAAGCTTTTCCTGACCATTCTATCTAAATGAGGCCACTGGGTGCCTTCCTTTGAGCAATTACTACAACATCCTGGTGCTGTTTGTTTGGTTATTTGATTATGCTCTGGTGTTACCTCTAAAATAGTTCCCAATCTGACCTCTTCTTGCCACCCCCACTGCTCCCACCTTGGTCTGGTTGCCATCACCTCCTCTGTGGCCTCCCAGCTTCCACCCTCACCCCCCATATGCAGCCTCTTTCACAGAAGGAGCTGTGGACACCCAAGCCAGACCACACCCCTCTCCTGCTCAGAATTTCCCACAGCTCTTATTCTGTCAGGGTAAGAGCCAAAGTCCTCACACGGTCCACGTGGCCATCTGTGACCCGTGGACCCTATTACCCCTTGATCTCGTCCCGTCCTGCTTTGCCCATTCATGTGTCTTCAGCCACAGACTTCCCTGCTCTTCCTCAAATATTCCAGGGGAATCCTACCTCAGGGCCTTTGCACATGCCATTCCCTCTGCCTGGAACTCTCTTCCCTTAGGTAGACCTGAAGGGCACCCTCATCTCCTTCTAGTTTTTGCTCACATTTCACCAGACCTCCCTAGCCACAAGTGTAACCTGTCCTCTTCCAACTTGGCTCCGCCTATGACCACCTGATTCCCATTTTCCTTGTTTATGTTATTTGCTCTCTGGCATCCCCTTATTGGAGTGTAAGTCCCAGGAGGGCAGGAAGTTCTGCCGTACTCACTGCTTTATCCCTCAGGCCCAGAACAGTGCCTGGCACATAACAGGTGCTCAGTATTTATTTGCTGAATGCCTTGCTGCCCGCTGTATCCCCAACTTGCAGAACAGAGTGTGGCACACAGTAGGTGCTTAATGAATATTTGCCAATTGACTGAAGGCGATGGAGGAAGTCCATATTACAGCTGAAGCAGAGAGAGAAACAGATTGGCAAGGGCACTCTCCCAACTGAGCCCCCCAACATCGCCGCCCCGCACCCCACCCTGCTCACCTATGACTCTGAGTTGTGTCACCCCTCGGCCGGTGCCCTTGGGAAAGGTGGCAAACTCACAGGTGTAGTTACCCTCGTCCTCCACCATCACCCCCTGGAGGGCCAGCGTGGCGTCCCAGCGCCCCGTATTCGTGCCTTGCCCAGCCCCAGTGCTCTGCCCGGCAGTAACAAAGGACAGCCGCTCCTTGCCAGGCTGTAGGCTGGGGAAGCTGGAACCATATGCAGGATGGAAGACGGCCACACTCTGGCTGTTTCCAGCTGCGTCCAGGCGCAGCCACGTCACCTGCGAGACTTGGACTTCAGGTGATGGCAGCTGCAGGTGGCACGGCAGCTCCACAGTGCCCCCCAAGTGTCCCAGCACCTCTGGGGGCATGTGCACTTGCACATCCTGGGCTCCTGGGGAGAAAGGAAAGGGGGAGGTAAGTGGGGAAATGACCCAGACACCCCAAGACCAGGCAGAGAACCCAAGGGGAAATGCAGGCCCCGGTGCGATGCAGGAGAGGTCCTGATTCCAAAAAGGCCATGTAGAAAAGACATTTTGAGGAAACCTAGGGACATCTGAGTTTGCACGAGGTTACATATTATTACAGAACTGTTACTTTTTTATTTTTTATTTTTATTATTTTATTTTTTTATTAAGGTATCACTGATATACACTCTTATGAAAGTTTCACATGAAAAACATTGTGGTTATTACATTCACCCATATTATCAAGCCCCCCTATACCCCATTGAAGTCACTGCCCATCAGTGTATAGTAAGATGCCACAGAGTCACTACTTGTCTTCTCTGTGCTACAGTCTTCCCCATGACCCCCCCACACCATGTGCACTAATCATAATGCCCCTCAATCCCCTTCTCCCTCCCTCCCCATTGGCCCTCTCCTCCCCTTTGGTAACCGCTAGTCCCTTCTTGGAGTCTGTGAGTCTGCTGCTGTTTTGTTCCTTCAGTTTTGCTTCATTGTTATACTCCACAAATGAGGGAAATCATTTGACACTTGTCTTTCTCCACCTGGCTTATTTCATTGAGTATAATACCCTCAAGCTCCATCCATGTTGTTGCAAATGGTAGGATTTATTTTCTTCTTATGGCTGAATAGTATTCCATTGTGTATATGTATCACATCTTCTTTATCCATTCAGCTACTGATGGACACTTAGGTTGCGTCCATATCTTGGCTATTGTAAACAGTGCTGCAATAAACATAGGGGTGCATATGTCTTTTTAAATCTGAGAACTTGTTTTCTTTGGGTAAATTCCTAGGATTGGAATTCCCAGGTCAAGTGGTATTGCTATTTTTAGTTTTTTGAGGAACCTCTATATTGCTTCCACCATGGTGGTTGAACTAGCTTACATTCCCACCAGCAGTGTAGGAGGGTTCCCCTTTCTCCGCATCCTCGCCAGCATTTATTGTTCCTAGTCTTTTCAGTATTGGCCATCCTAACCGGTGTGAGGTGATATCTCGTTGTGATTTTAACTTGCATTTCCCTGGTGATTAGTGATGTGGAGCACTTTTTCATGTGCCTGTTGGCCACTGTTACTTATTCTCAGGTGTGATGATTAAATTGTGGTTAGGCAGCATTCCTTTTTCTTAGAAGATACAGGGTTGAAATGACACGCCTGCAACATACTCTCAAATAGTTGCCCAAAAAGAAAAAAAGAAGAAGGTAGAGAGAAAGGGATGAGGCCAATGTGACAAAATGCGCCCCACTCTCTGGTCTAGCGGGGATGGTGAGGAAGGTTCCTGGGCTATCCTTCCAGATTATCCCCGTATGTTTGAAACTTTCATTATAAAATGTCTGGAGGGAAAAAAGAATCCTCTGAAAAGAAATCAGTAATAACGAATGAAAAAGTTTATCGCCAAATAAATTTTTAAAAATTTAAAGTGTGAGGGAATAGTGTGCATTTTTTTCCACACAGTGATGTACTTTCCCCTTCCCCATTCTATAAAACCTTTCTTCTAAAATAATGCCCTCTTCGACTTTCTTTTAACAGCTTTGAGATATAATTCTCATTCACCCGTTCAAAGTGTACAATTCAATGGCTTTTCGTATATTTATCAGATTTGTGCATCTACCACCATACTCAGGTCAGATCAAATGTTTTTAAGTGTCAAAAGAAACCCTGAACCCATTCCCCGTCCCCCAGCCCCTGGCAACCACTCATCTCCTTTGTCGCCAGACTTTGCCGCTTCTGGACATTTCATACAAATGGAATCATGCAGTATGTGGCCTTCCGTGACTGGCCTGTCCCTGACCACCATGTTTTTAAGGTTCCTCCACGAAGTGGCCCAGATCAGCAGCGCTGCATTGCGCCGCATTCCTTGTCATGGCTGAGTAACAGTCCCTTGCATGCACGGAGCACATTGTATCTATTCACCTGCTGATGGACATTTGGGTTGTTTCCGTTATTTGGCGATTATGAATAAAGCTATTATGGACCTTTGCATCTGACAGTTTGTGCTGGTGGACATTTTCATTTCTCAGCTTATCTTTAGTTTCTTTTAATAAAAACTGAAATAAAGAAGGCTGTGTCTGCTGTGCAAGGCCACACAGCATGCTCTTCTAGGACACAGACTGCCTGGGTGCGAATGCTGGCTGTGTGGTTTTGGGCAAGTCATTTAACCTCTCTGTGCCTCTGTTTACTCAGGTGGTAAATGAGAATAATCACAGGGATGTTGCAAGGATTAAAGCATGTTTGTAGGGCACTTAGTACAGGGCACAGGAAGCAGGAGATCAGTGCTCATTATATACACAGTCAGGTAAGAATAATTACAAGTGGCCCTTCACACTTAGCCTTGAGGCAAGGCCATGAACATGGGGCAAGTCCCGCTCAACTCACGCAGGAACCCAGGGACTTTTGGAGAGCAGTCATCAGTGAAGGTCATTATGTGACACATGTATCATCTCCTGGAATCCCCACACGTGTCCGCAACTCAATCCCCACGTGGACCACACTGGGAAATGGGACTTCCTCCTTCTGGAGGGGCCGCACTGCGAAGTGTCAAGTGCGGGACCCCCGAGCAGATAGCGATGGGCTTCCTGCTGGCTCTGTCTCTTTGCAGGTGGGTGACCTTGTTTCTGAGCCTAAATTCCTCCATCTATAAAATGGGGACATTCAAACTGCCCTGGGGTCCCTGGTGACAAACTCCTTTAAATGATTTTCTCCCATAAACTCTTTGCGGGGCCTGGCACGGGTGAGTCAAGCAGAAGTGGTCAGCAGAATGCTGCGGGCAAACCCCACTTCTCCCTCAAATTTGCTTTTGCCCACAGAGCGCTGTTCCAAATGAGAACCAGCAGTCACTAATTTACTAATCTACAGAAGGGTCTGGAGATTAAATGTCAAAATCCAGACAAAAATCAGGATCTGAGGCTTCTGCTTCTGGGGGGGAAACAGTTGGGTGAGGCTGAGGGAAGGCTGCCCCTGTCCCTCAGGGGCCGGGACCCTTCACCCACTGGCCTCCCAAGGCACTGTGTACAGGATGAGGGTCCCCAGGGCTCTGCCCCTCTCTAGCTGGGTGAGGAGGGAAGGCCGCTCTGTCAGGAGAGACCATCCAGGCCCCCGAGAGTGCCAGGGAGAGTCGGGTAGGGTGGCGCCGAGGAGAGAGCAAGTGGGGGCCCCTCAGGGCTCCTCAAGGAGACAGTGATTTGGCTGAAACCACAGAGGTCTGATGGGAAGGGGGACTGGGCAGAAATGGACCATCAGAGAAGAAAAAGGCCAGAGGGAACAATAAAAAGACGCAGAGGTTAAGACTGAGACAGGGTGTAGGAGAGGAGATGGACTCTTTGAGGCGGATTTAGACCTTGAAGGGACTTGGTGCTGGGGGTTGGGGAGGAACCTGAGAGCACCTGCCTTCCAGCCCGTCTTTCCCACTCCAGGCACGTCTAGGCAACAGACAGGTCCCGGAGGCTTTGTCTGTCTTGTTCCCTGCTGTATCTCCAGTCTACACCAGGGCCCAGCACATAGGAGGTGCTCAGTAAATACTACTGAATGAATCAGGCTCTGTGCTGGGTGTGGGTGCCACAGAAGTGGCAGGCTGAATCAAAGGCTTGCCCTCTAGGAGTTAACATGCTGGCGGGGGAGACAAATATTGCACAAATAGTCACCCCACGGATGCCAGGCAAACTGAAAGGGGTGGGGTGGGGGCAGAACCTGGAGCAGAGGCCTGCCTCACCTGAGGGAGGCCAGGAGGGCTTCCTGGAGGAGGAGATCCATTCCTTTCCCAGGGAAGCAAAGCTCAGGCCCACGGACCCCCACCCCTTCTCTGGGCCCCTGAGTCCTTGGGGAATTCAGATTTCCTGTCCGAAGGAAGCCCTTGTGATTGCAAGGTGCGTGGGTCTCCTGAGGGAGGCTGCCCTCCATCTGGGGTGGCATCTCAGCACCTCCTTCAGAGGCTTAAAAAGCCCCACTTTTGGCTTCTTGTGGGGCAGACCCCTTGGGTACTTCTCTCACCCCCAGTACTCTGCCCTGAGGGCTGCACACTGAACTCTCTCTGGCGAGCTGGCCCATGCCCCCTCACCCTGCACCTCATTTCCTCTGCACAGCACTTGCTCCCGTCTTACACATTAGATTTTCAGAACCCCCTTGAGTGCCACATGGGCAGGGATGCTTCATTGTATTTTGGACCCAGCTGTCTGCTCTGCATCAGCAGCAGAGACGGGCTCCTCATGGACGCTCAATATCTGCTAAATGAATGAGGTCCTAAAACCTCAAGGCTATAAGGTCCCCTTTCTAAGCTCAGGCCCTGCGGGGCTAATGTCCTTTTTCAGGCATTTCTACCTCAGTAAAAGGTTCAGGATGGAAGCTTTGGAGTCATCCCTGACCTTATCTCCCACACTCTCCCTTCCTGCCTGCTGCATCCACACTGGCTCCTCACTGCTCCTCCAACATGCCAGGGAAGTCCCACCTCAGGGCCTTTGCACTTGCCATTCCCTCTGCACGGAATGCTCTTCCCCACCTGTCCTCATGGCCCCTTCCCTCACTTCCTCCAGGTCTTTGCTCAGCATGGTGTTCCCTGACCATCTGAATGATATTAATAAGAACTCCTTTGACCCAGCTTTATCTTCCTCCTAGCATCTGATTTACCTTCCCCACTAGACATTCATGCTGGAAGGGCAAGGATCTTCACCTTGTTCCCTCCCAGAGCCTAGGACAGTGCCTGGCACATTGATCTGTAAATGTGTGGGATGAAGGAACGAGATGAAGATAGGGAACCAACGGTGCACTAGACCACACAGGCTGAGGTGTAGTTTGCACTTTTTTATGAGGGCACTGGGGAGCCATGGAGAGCTATATGCAGCAGGCAGGAATGGGGGTTAGATGTGTGATTTAGAAAGAGCCCTCAGAATGGAGTGGGGCAGGGACCCAGAACTGGGGACTGTGAGCATGCATGGAGAAGGAAGCAGATAGGAAGCATGTTCAGAAGGTGGGATGGTTGGGACATGCTGGCTGACAGGCTGTGGGGGCTGAGGACAAGGGTGTGGGCTGATGTCCAGATGTTTTGCATTTCAGGTGGAGGCAGGGGAGATGAAACCAGGAGGAAGGCTGGCTTGGAGTTACGACCTGAGTGTCCAGCACACTGCTGGGCAAGTGCCTATGCCCTGACCTTGGCCAGGGCTTGGCCGGCACCACAGTGGAGGAGTGTGTGGCCAAGGGAACACTAGCCTCCATCAGCATCCCTTGACAAAAGCCAGACTGGTGACGGCTTCGTGATGTGTCAGGTGGGTCTCCAGACACACGTGCCCTCTCTGTGGCCCAGGCCTGCAGGCTTTCTGAGGGAACTGCCCAGGGACTCATGTGAGCCCGTGGGGGAAACTCTGGGGAACAAGGACAGAGCCTGAGACCCCAAGATCTGGGGAAAGATAGATCAAGGCAGAGAGGAGGGTGCACAGCGACTTACAAAACCCTGGAGGAGGAGGCTGGGAGCCCGAACTCCTGGGTTCCTGTCTGGATGACTCCTCGGGGCTTAGCTCACCCCTCCAGACCTATTAACCACCGTGACCTCCTCTCCACTGCAGGGTGGGGTGAGACCAGAGCAGGCCCTTGAAGGTGGTTCAAGCCCTGGCCTCAGCTACCTCATTAATTAATTAACTGCATGAATCCCAGTGCCCACCCCCACTGCAGACACCTGGGAGCCAGTGGGGGAGTGAGCAGCAGCAGCCTCCAGGATGGGACTGTCTACCTGTGCCTGGCTTTCTGCGTCAGCCTCCCTGCCTCCCCCGTCTGCTCTCTGATGGTGGTCACCACTCAGCAACGGGAATCCCTCCCCTGCTTTCTGGGCTGAGATTTCCCTGCCTTTCCACAGGGCTCCCTTGTGAGGTGTGATATTTCTGGGAATCTCTGAGATGGCTCTAACTGGCTGAGCCCCTCAGAACAGCTCGCACATGGCACTGCCTAGTCCAGGGTTAACACTCAAGGCTTTTGTCTGACAGGCCCTATCCCTTTGATCTCGCATGTCTCGCTGCATCTGGTTCTTAGGACCCCAGTCTGCCCCTCTGCAACTCCAGCTCCTAGGGTGTCTGGTCTCTGCCCTTGTCTCTCAGAGTCTCTGTTACTCCCTGTGTCTCCCAGGAGTCCCTGGTCTCTACTCTGTGTCTCTCAGATTCTCTCTGTCTCACAACTTACTGAGATAGAACTCCCATCCCATTCACCATTGAAAGTGTACCAGTCAATGGGTCAGATCAGTATATTCCTGGACTTACGCATCCATCGCCCCATCAACCTTAGGACATTTGCACTAGCCCAAGAGAGCCTGCACCTGTAGCCATTCTCATTTCTCCTTCCTCGGCATCTCTGACATTTGAGGTTTCAGTCTTTCTGTGTCCTGGCCTCCCAGTCTCCAGAATCAGGCCCCCTGTGTCAGCTCCTGGGGCCACTAATCTCTTAAGGCTTCTATAAGAACTATAGAAATAAGAAGGAAATAAGTCTATTTCTCTCCAGGGGCTGTGGGTCTATGTCTCTGAATGGGGACCTCCCTGCCTCTGGGTGCCCCCCATCTCCCCATGTCTCTCCACATCTCTCACACACTTTCTGCCTGGGCCATTTTGCTGGGTCCCCTCTCCTTCCCCTCATGCTCCATTTCTCAGCATTGCTGGGAAATTAAAAATGTAACAGCATCCCCAGCAGGGGCGGGGGAGCTCCCTGTCCCTCCAATGTTCACCACCCACTGTGGCTCCCACCCCAACTGCTGGCCTCCCCAGGTCATGGCATGGCTGCGGTCTTTGGGGCTCCCTGCCTATCACCAAACCATTAAGTCTCTTTCCTTAGGCTGCTCCTGCCTTTATCTTGATGTCTCTGTCCTGCTCGCCCCACCCCTGCCCTGACTTTCTCTGTCCCACCTCAGTGTCTTTCTGCCCCACCCCGTGGCTCTTTCTTACCTAGGTTCCATCCCCGTGTCTCTGACCCCATCCCTAAACTTGTTGTGGACACCCTTCCTCTGTTTCTATCCTCACCATGTATCCCTCCCCCACTCCTGTCCTCAGTATGTGGGCAGACCCACCCCCACTTCTCCTCAGCCCGGTGCCTCTCCCCTAACAAGAAGAGACAGCAGGCCTCCAGTCCCCTCCTCTCCCCTCCCCCAACGACTACGGGGCTGGCGGCTGATGTGGATGAGCAGTGAAAGCTGTGGGGGGCTGAGGAGGAGAGCGGCCCAGTGGGAGGCCCAGTTAGGGCTCCCTCCCTCCGAGGGGGCCAAGGAGGGGGAGGCAGAGGAGTGGAGACAAGGAAACAGAGCTGGAGTGAAAGGGGAGAGAGGGGGCTGCCGGAGAGAGCACAGCCACAAGGACGGAGGGGCAGGACAGGGGCAGGCCCCCTGTCCCGGTGCTCAGGGCTTTTACATGGCATCAGTGGACCTCTGAATCCTCTCAGTGGCCCTGCAGGGAAGGGGTCACTATCTGTTTTACAGAGGCGGAAACAGAAGCTCAGAGGCACTTTCTGGAAGTCCATCCGGTGGAGTAGAGCCAAGAAAGGTTCTGAAGTCTGCAGTCAGCTTCCGGGACTGGCTGTGGACCCTGGGAAAGTGGCTTGCCCTTTCTAAGCCTCTGTTTCCTCATCTGCAAAATGGGAACAGGAACAGAATGTACCTCCTAGGCGACCTAGAGCCTTCCATGATATCATGCACCAAGTCAACACCTGGCTCAAGGTCAGGTGGATTCTGAGCATTACCCCAGAGGTGGCTGGTTCTGACCTCATCTCCCTATAGAGGCAGAGCATGAAAGAGGCAGTAGCCAGTTCCGGGTAGAGGCTGGGACACAACTCAGAAACATGCTGGGAAAAAGGAGGCCAGAGGGGTGATCGGGGTTCCCCCAAGATCCCCCTCACCTCTGTGGGTTTTCCTTTGGGAAATCCAAGGACCCCCAGCGTTCCAGCTGGGAACAAACAGCAGGTTCACCTGCGAGAGGCGGGGCCAGAGCCTCCTTCACCTGCTTCCTCCCAGCCCCTCCCTCCCCTGGGTGCTGCTCCCCACCCCAGTGGGGGCTGGGGAAACGGGAGGGGGCTGCCACACTGAGCAGAGGGACGGGCGGGGTATTAGGGCGGCGTCTCCTCGCGTCTACCTCCACCAGGGGCTCCGAGGACGAAGGCAAGACCAGAAGAAAGATAAGGTCTCGAAACCCGGGAGAAACCCAGGCCTCCGGAACTGGGAGCCCGGGGAGCTCCCGCCCCCGCCCCCCCCACACCCGTCGGTGCTCGGTGAAAGTGAAACCGGGAAAATTTCCCCAGGGACATTCCGGTCGACTGCTCACAGGGAAAGGGAAGGGTTCCAGTCTGCGATACTGGGCCTCCCATTCTACCTGGGACGCAGCCAACCAAGCCTCCAGCTTCCAGACTGCCTCCAGCCCTCGACTGCATCTAGAAACCCAGAGACAGAGTCCCTTGCCCACATTTTTATCTGGGTCTCAGAAGACATTTCAGGGCCCACAATAAAATCTGAAGCCGACCAGATAGGGTCTCTTGCCTCCCACTCCCCCACCCCCGCCAATTCTACCTGGGACCCAGGACACAGAGCCCCCACTCATAATCTAGAACCCCCAAGTTTGAGCTTTTCCTACCCCCAGTTTTACTAGGACCTCAGCAGACAGAGCCTGTGGCCTTCATTTTACCTGGGACCCAGGAGACAGAGCCCCCCAACCCCTTGTTTTCTGAAGTCAGAACCTTCAGCTCCCTGAGGCCCGGTACTGGAGCCCCTAGACCCCTCGCCCGGGGCGCCGAAACTCTCATCCCTGGCCCTCCCAGGAACCCAAAGACCAAGTCCCTGCCCTTCTTGAGGGCCGCGACATCTGGCCCCCAGCCCTCAATTCTCCCCGGACCTTGGACGCCCAACCCTGGACGCAGGAAAAATGGGGGTGGGTGGGGGGCGGCGGTTTGGCCTCATCATCGCGACCCTCCTGCTGGTGGGGAATACATTCCCCACATTTCTGAGGGGGAAAGCGGAGCCGGAAACCCGGAGCCGGGTTAACTGATGGGCGCGGGGTGGGGAAGGGGCGCGAAGGCCTCGTATTTAACCCTTTTGGCGTCAGAGTCTGAGGAAGGAGAAGCAGGTACACAGAAGTCCGGCGCAGGATGGGGAGTGGGATTAGGAAGAGGGACGGGGGTGAGAGGGACGCAGAGAGTGGGGTTTGTGGGGGTCAGGGCCGGTGGGGCCAGCCAGGAAGGGGGCATGAGAGAGCGGCTCCGTGGACTGGGGGTGTAGTGGGAAGGCGCTCAGGATCCCTCCTCTCGGAGGGCAGGGAAGGGGATGGGTCCGCGCGGCGGAGAGCGACGCCTGCGGTTTCTCACCGGCTTCCTGGAGCAGCAGCAGCAGCGGGAGCAGCAGCGGCGGCGGCGACGATCCCGACGACGGAAGGGCTGCGGCCCCGGCCATGGGGGGCCCGGGGTGGGACTGGGCACGGGCGGGGCCTGCGGGTCACTCAGCGCGTGCTGATCGGCTGGGAGGTCGAGCGGGTGCCTGAGAGGCTCCGGTCCCAGCCGGTTCCCGCCGCGCTCTGCTCCCCGAGCTGTCCTCTCGGGGCCGGGCTCTCCCTGCTCCGTGCCGGGGCCCCGAGCTACCTGGCAGTCCGGACCCGCTGACGTCACAGGACACACCCCTTCCCTCCCCCGGGCCGTGCGGACAAAGGACTCCGGCCACGCCCCCTCTGGGTATCCGCGCCCGCCCCTCCCGGCATTCTACACCTGCCGCTCCCCGGGATTCTCTGCGTGCGCCTTCCAGAAGTCTACGGTTCGCCCCTCCCCGAGAATGACCTCTCTCCCCTATCTCGGCGCTCCAGCCCCGCCCCTTTGGGGCTCCAGCCACGCCTCCTCTACGGCCGGGAGTTCCTCCCACGCCACGCCCCTTGCCCGCTGGGGACTCTTAAGTTCTGTCACGCCCACTTTAGAGTCACCGGTCGCCCCGCCCCAATAAGCCCCGCCCGAGTCGGCCACGCCCATCCTTTCTCCCTGTAATCTGTCCCGCCTCTTCCCAGAAGTTCGGTCCGGCCTGGTGTCAGCGCTGCCCAAAGTTCTAACCTGGCCCTCTTCAGCTTTACCTCGGGCCTCTCCTGAGACCTTACGTGAGGCACGTGTTTTCCTAGGCCCGCCCCTTCTGGGCTCCGCCCCCAGGCGGAGACCCCGCCCCCAGGCGGAGACCCCGCCCCCAGGCGGAGACCCCGCCCCCAGGCGGAGACACGCCCCCTCCCAGTCCCGGTACGGACTTACCTAGGTCGTTTTCCTGGAGTCTGTCTCGATTCTGGGGCACCTCAGCGTTATCCCTGTCTATCTTTCATCTCTGCCTCGAACTGTGGGTCCCCGCATCATTTCTTTCTCGATTTCTGTCTCTCTTAGTGTCTCTGTGTGTCTCTATCTTTGAGTCTCCTCTGTCCCTGTATTTCGCTGCCTACGGGTCTTTTAGTCCTTACGTCTTGGTGTCGCTTTGTGTTTCTGGTCTCTGTCTGTCACATTCCTGTGTCACTTGGTCCCCGTGTCTCTTTCCATCCCTTTGACTCTGTGTCTGGGTCCCTCTCTCTCTCTCTCTCTCTCTGTACGTCTGTCTCTTTCAGCGTCTCTTGTTTCTCCTCGTGTCTCTGTCCCTGCCTCTGTTGTGTGTGTCTCCCTCCCTGTAGGCCCTTGTCCCCTCCTCTTCTGGTCCGCACCGCCTTCTTCCCGCCTCTTCCCGCCAGGGGGCAGCACAGACCGGCTCCCATGCTGAGCTCGCCCTGCGGGGCTGGGCTAGGGTCGGGCCTACAGATTCCGCCGGTCCCTCCCCGTGTCCTTGTCCCACTTCTCCTATCTTCCCAGCCTCCTCTGGTCTTTGTGTCTCTGCCTCTGACTCGGCCCCTTTGTCCCTCCCTGGCGGCTCCCGCTCCTCCCCACCCCCACCCACCTCTTCACATTCCTCGGGCTGACCGGGGGAGCTGGTGAGCAGGCCGGCGTGCTGGGGTGAGGGCGGGAAGCAGGAGGCCGAAGAAGGGGATGCCTAGGGTGCCTGAAATCCATTTGTTCCAGTTTTGCGGAGGCTCCGTTGCTGATACGTGGGGGCAGAGGCTTGAAAGCTTCTTGCCCTAGCAAGGAGACCCTCTAGACTTGCCCTCTCCTTCCCCCATCCTACACCTGAGCTTTCCTCCCCAAAAGGGCAAGGTTGCAAGTAGTGGAGTTCAAGTCTAGGTAATGATACTGTTAATAAATGTACTTGGCATTTACTATGTGCCAGGTGTGGATCTAAGTACTCCCGTTAGTTTTATCTCAACCCACACATCATCCTATGTGATAACGAAACTGAGGCACAGAGAGATGAAGTGCTTTGGCTCGAAGTCAGTCACAAAATGACAAGATCCAGAATTGACTTATGTGTCTTATTAATTCCTCACAAAAATCCCATATGGGGATACTATCATGATCCGCATTTCACTAGAAAGTTCACTGAGCATGGAGTGGTTACTTGCCCAGGGAAACCAGGAAGGATGTAGCAAGCTGGGATTTGAACCCAGACAGTCTGTGCTCTTACCCTCTCTATGCTATGTGTCCTCTAGATAAAGTGTATCTCAGGCTTGGCACAAGCCTGGTATGAAGGGGGCTGGACAAATAGGTGCATGATAAATGCTCTCTAGATCTCTCTATCCTTTTCCTAATCTGGGGCCAGACTAGATGGCCAAGATCTCTGGGTTTTAATGCCAGCTTTGCTACTAACTTGCTCCCTTGAACAAAATAACCAGTCTCCAGGGAGTTTTCTTCCAGGAAGGGCCCCCCTAGCACCCGTACTCCCGGCCTGTCAATGAGTGGGCTCAGTTCTCTTGGCTGTTCTTTGTGGGCGCAGATGAGCCCAGTAGGGAAGGCCCAGGAAGGTAGGCTGGAATTTCTGCTCCCCTGGCCTATGCATAAGACCGAGCACTACCATGTTTGTTGACAAACGACTGGGTGGGTCCCATGCCTGGGAGTCGACTTCAAATGTCAAGAAGTCCCAGAGGTGGCACTTAACTGAAGAGCCGTAACTACCAGGAAGTAAGAGTACAGGTACAAAGGCTTCCTGATGGAGCTGTGTAGCTGGTGCCAAGTATTTTACATGCCCGGAAACCTGTTTTCCTTCTTCCAGCAGCAGTAGCCCTCCAGCCCCGCATTTTTTTGTAAGGGGAATCACCTACACTCAGTCCTGGTTCAGAGTGAGTCTGATCCATTCCTAGCCAATCAGAGCATTTGATCCTCTGGCCACAGGGATTGGTTCAGGGATGGAGGTGGGATCTGTTCCTGACCAATGAGAGTTAGCCCTGAGACTTCCTCTTGAACTGATAGGAAAGGGACACGCTCTCTTGATGGGGATTGTTAACTGGTAGAGTAGAAATCTGTCACTAGGGTGGCACCTGAGTCAAAAGACCCTACCTCTACATGGAGGACAGCAGAGCTGAGAAATGGAAAAGGACCATTTTCTGATGAGACTGAGCTGCTGGATCCAGCTATGCCTGAAGATAGCCTTTGATCTTCCTGGTTATATGAGTGAATAAGTTTCCTTTTTCACTTACACAAAGTTTCGACTTTAGTTTAGTTTTGCTTACTAATAAAATCTATACCAGTCCAGAAGAGACACAGATTCCTGCAAAGTTCCCAGGGCTGGGAAACAAGAGTAAAACTTTTCAGGATCCTTCAAGATGTCCAGGTTTTGAAGGACAGACAAGCTTTGTTACAGTGGGGGAAATGGGGATGGACATTCCAATGAGGCGATAGTAAAATCACAAAGTCACAAGGTAGGGGCATGTGTGAGAGAGGAAGCAGTGACCGGCAATATCTTAGAAGGCCCCGAATGCCAGCTGAAGGGTGGGTCATGCTCCTAAGAGCAATAGGGAGCCACAGAAGGTTGATGAAGGAGTTCACTCCAAACTTGTCTTCATTTCTTGTAACTCCAGATCCCATGGGTCACCTCTTCCCCTTTCCCCAGACCCTTGACAAGGTGAGAGGAATCAGACTGAGGTTGTAGGTTGCCGCCTGTATGTAAATTACTTGGGATGCCCTGCCTACAAGGGGCATTATGCAAATGTGTGTCCTCCTAAGAGGCAGGCCAGGATCCTCCCCTCATTAACTTGGGGACCAGGGGCTGAATGAGAATCCCTTCCTCACTGGGGTCCCCTCTCTCCTTTGCCCCCAGCCGTCTATTCACTCCCCCTGCAGCTTACCAGAAGCTCCTCACCAATGTCTGCCCTTAGAGTGGTATCTCTCTCCACCTGGTCCCTCCCTGATCAAGTGACCCTTTGTTGCTTTTTGTCTGTCCCTGTTTTTCTTGGATGATGATAATAATAATAATCATGGACTGAACACATACTCTGTGCCAAGCTTTGTCCTAAACACTTTGCAGTTATCAAATTCTAACACCTTATGGTCCCCATGTGTGCCTGTTGAAATTTTTGTTTTAATTCACTTCTGCTATATAGAAAACAAGAAAGCCACACAAATAAGGAGATCGATAAAATGAAGGATGAATTTTATGAAGCAGATCATGAGGCCTATTGGACATATTAAGCATATGACCTGAACAGATGGAAGGATGGAAGGAAGGGAGCAAGCCCCAAGTATCCACGTGTCCTTAAGGGGCTTCGCTGGTGACCCCTACTCCGTTGCATGAGTCCTGTGACCAAATCACACAGGTAAAAGCTGGGCTGCCAAGCATGTTTTCAGCCAGCTACAGTGGTGGCTGGGTGCATTTGCTCCCTTGTGGCCCTGGTGCCTTTTGGGGATACAGCCAAATGCCCTGGCACACCCTCCACTGTGGGCCTCAGAACCACACCAAGGTGAGAGACCAGATTCAGGAGCCACGCGTACCCCAGAACCTAGGTAGCAGGGAACTTCGGTCACTTGTGTCCTGATGTAGGTTTGTTAATGTGCCCCACCTCTTTTCTCTGGCTTCTCCTGTTTGTTGATTCAATAAACCACCGGGTTTGAGTGCCTTAATTAGGCGGGTGAGTTCTTCTGTTCCAGGGCCTCTGGGCATGCTGCTCAGTCACCTACACCCAGGGAGACTCCCAGAGCAGCCTGCCCATTTCCCAAAGCAACAGAACCCACTTTGCCCATTTTGCGGCTGGCCAAACTGAGGACAGGGAAGCAGTCACTCGCCTGAAATTGGAGGGGTCTGAGTGCAGAGACCTCCCCACACGCACTGCACTGGGATTGGCCAGCCACTCCTCACAGCAGCCCTCGGCCCATGTGTGATTTCTCTCGGGCTCGTGGGTTCAGGGAGGTGCAGACACCAGGCTAAGGTCACACAAGCCCTGCTCCCACTACCCCCTGCTTTGGGGCTGCTCCTCTCAACCTTTGTTCTCTCCCTTTCCGACAGTAATTATCTCCGCGAATTCCAGTTCCTTCTCCATGTGCCTGTCTTTGTCTCTGTATCTACCCGTCTGTAGCTACCTCTCTCCCCAAATCCCTTTCTGTGACTGTCTGTCTGTCTCCAGAGCTTTCTTATGTCGAAGCTTCCCCAATCCATCCCTCCTACCCCTCCATAAGGGTATTTTTCTTTTCCTTTTTTTTTTTAATTTTTGCATTGTTGTCCCATCCTCTTCCAACCTTTTCCATCCCTCTCTCAATCCCTCTTCCTTTGGCTGCAGTAAGTCTCTCCAATTGGCCTGTTTCTCTCTTTTCTCTGCCCCAGGCCGCTCGGTCTGGGTTCTTTCAAGCCCCTGCTCCTTCCCCAGGGAATCCTCAGCTCCAGGCACCGTGCTGTTCCCAGGGGAGGAA